AATTTTCAGACAGTTTTTTGATAAAATAGATCAGGACGACAATCGAGAGAAAATATTTTCACCGGAACTTTTCAGAAATCTCACACAAGAAGGGGACACATATGTATAGTGCAAAATACATGAAAAGTAATTTTGCATAAAGGTGACAAAGGCCTGGATCCACACGAGGACGATAACGCAAACGGACCGAAAATCGATATCAAAAAGTCTTCCTCGTCACACGCAATAGGGCACCAGAAACGTGTCCGTTCACACGGGGACGCTCAAAAGCGTGGAGACGCTGTATAACATTATGCCGGGCCTGTAAGTGTGCTGTTACTCCTGCCACGTTTGCATGGTGCCCTTCTGTTTATTCTCCCGCTGTGGACGCTCTTGGCTTTTTCTCCTCCCCGAGGCAAGCGTTTTGTCTTCTAGCTATAATATCCCAGATAGTCCACCAGCAGATGAAAAACACCACCTCTCCGCCTCTTCCAAGGGACGAGGGGAACCGTGCGCAGAGTTTTCAGTTTAAGAAATTTTCCTTTTCGCGGTTCCAACATGTCTGGGTTAAAGTTTAAATCTCCGGACAAAATTTGAAAGTGCCGGTCAAAGGTCTTCTTGTTATTGAGCTTTAAAAAACAAATGAATAACGACTCTTTAATATATACTAACGATAATAAACGGACTCTCTTTTCTCCCCCTTTCTGAACAGCCCAGTAGCTGATCTCTGAGCAGGAGATCCGTGGGGGGAGGCGGGCTATTGCGTCATCGTAGCAGAATGATGTAAATAGCGTATAGCGTAACACCGGAGGCCCGTTTGCCCCCAGAGCCGGTTCGTTTGCAGATCTATCCACCCCTTGGACCCGTTATCGTTTTCGCCATTCCATGTCGCTGTGTGGCGAACCGTTCTTCTCCTGAATAGTAACTGTAAGCAGATACACCGTTATCGTCTCCGCGTGGCGGGCCTTAAGACCCCATTTAAGCCCCGGCCACACGAGGGCGATAACGGTCGTATCTGCTACAGTTCACTATCAGATAGACGGCTCCGTGTTTACGCCCATACGATCATTTCCTGATAACGTTGAAGCAATAGCTCAATAACTCTCAATGAAGGAAATCTGGAAGGAGGCCCCGACTCGTCCATCAGCAGATGAAAAACACCCACCTCTCCGCCTCTTCCAAGCGACGAGGGGACCGTACGGCAGAGTTTCCGTTAACATTTTTTTTCGCCCGGCAACATGTCCGTTAAAGTTGAAATCTTCTGTACAAAATTAGAAAAGTGCCGGTCAGAGGTCTTCTTTGTTATTTTTTTAGCTTTAAAACAAATTGATAACGACTCTGTTCTCTGTATAATAATATAAGAATAATAAACGGTGCCTGACTCTCTTTTCCTCCCCCTCTTCAGTTCTGACAGCCCAGCACCAGCAGGAGACGTGGGGAGAGGGAGGCGGGGCTATTTCATCGTTGTCAGAAAATGATCGTATCGAGGCGATTACACGGAACATTTGACCCCCAGAGCGCTCCGTTTGCAGATCCACCTTGGGACCCGTTATCGTTTGCGGGGTCGTTTACTGCCATATTCTGTCGTCCTAGTGTGGCCGAACGGTATATGACACAAAACTGTAACGGAAACTACCGTATGCGTCCCCGTGGGGCCGGGGCCTAAATCACATGCGACTGGAGTTTCCCCTTTAATTTAGCATTATATGTGCCCCAGTATGGGATTAGTTTTGTTTCATAAAGATAAAGCAACACTTTCTCAGAATCAAGCAAAACTAAGAGTTTAAGAGAAAAAAAACAGAGTCAAGCAAAATGTATTTAATTTAAAAAATAAAACTATAAGTTGCAAACAAATCATTTGTGTAATCATGTAAACTACAAGTCTTTTTTCTTTGTTTCAACATACATTTTTGTTTGCAGTTCTCTTTGCTTCTTTGTCAATGATCAGACTTTTGCTTTCGCTGCAACTCTCTCGTTTGTGCTCTGTGAGACTGACCGTTGAGCGGCCCAGACCAAGCAAGGAGGCAGAGGCAGAACGTCCAAAAATATAACCCGACGTGGGCATTTATTAAACCAATGGGCACAAAGTTCACAAACAGCCTCAATCCTGCTGCTGTTCACGCGAGCCCAGCCTGCAGCCACCAGGATCTCACACACACTACCACTCTCACAAGAAACAGCACTTAAATACACAGACACTAACAAGACACAGGTGAGGGGGAGCAATTAAACACAGGTGAGGGGGAAGGAGCAAACACAGGGCACCAGGTGAACACAATTGGGTAATCAGCAGGAGGGAACACAGAGACGACCGGAAACAACAGACAAGATGAGGGGTGAACACTTATTTAATTAATGCCATTTAATAAATAGCAGTAACGGCGTCTCGTCGTTACAAGCTCTCAGACACGTTCAAAATTAAACTGTCATCGCTGTTATCGCTGTCTGGAGGGCTGTGCCCGCAATGACGTCACACATAATTTGGCGGGACTTGAAGAATCCCCGAGAAGATCCAGAATATGGTCAAAATTGAAGGGCAGATTAATGGTTATCGAAGTACAAATATCCAAAATCAGTTCAGTAACGGTTTTCAAGGGGACAATATTTATGGGTTTGGATGATGGGGGAAACTCGTGTCACAGGCTCTTTAAGAACCGCTGAATAAAACGCTCAGGTCTGCTCTGATTGGTCATTGTTTTCGGGTCTTCTGTATCTTTGCTCTAGTCTAGGCAATATGTATATAGCACCTAGACTTGTGATTAAAATCAAAAGGACATAGACATCCCACTTTTGATCATGTAGAAAGATAAATACAATGGAGAAGTGTATGCTGCTGGTAAATGTGGTTTTAAAATGTAGAATCCCCCCAGGAAATAATTACTGGTATCTAATTAAGTATACAATAGTCAGCACATATACAAGAGCTATTAAAAAGTCATTATAGACTACACATTTACAGTATGTTTGTTCTATTAAAATAACAGAATCATACTGCATTTTGCTCAAATGTGTCATCCCTCTAAGAAATACCAAGTCTTAATCCCTAACATGTTGTTACACCACCCCTAACTTCCTTTCTTGCATTGGGAATCAGTGGTGTGAAAGATGTTTCAATAGCATCACCAACAGGCACTTTAATAGTCAAATATACAGTACATAGGCTGTATCTCTGCACCACAGAGACTTTGTTCTGTAACCTCTTCTTTTCATGTATTTTTCAGCCCATATTGAAAGTTTTCTGTCCCTTAAGAATTAGTTCACAGGTTTGGCAACTTCTGAGTTGCTGCCTGCTTCTTCGGCAGCAAGTGTGCAGTTATTAGATAAGGCTTTGTTTCAGGCAGAGGTTGGTGGTGGGAAATGTTCGGTATGCTCCGGGGGTGCGAGGTCCCGTCTGTTGGCACTTCTCCCTCCCCCGCTGGGCGACTGACAGGCGAACATAATAGCAAGCAGGTGGAAGAGGCCTTACCTGAAGGGCTGCTCCCCTATTACAATCCCTCAAAATGGAATCAAAGGGGCCCGCTGCACCCTACTGTTGCATCAAAGCAATCTCCTCGTCTCTCCTTAAGATAGGCGCATGGAGGCATTCCCCTTTGAAGACCTTCTCATCTGAAATCAGCAGTGTCTCACTGACAAGATAAAGTAGCTGGTGTTTTTCACTTGGATGTTAATGTGCAGGCACACACAGCGGAACCGTCTCTACAAAAGAAGAGCATTGTTCCAGTAAGCCTTTGCTTTTGTTCCTTTCTGAGTCGTTTGAGGAGACTTGCAAAAGCGTAGCAATTTAACAAAAGCCCAAGATGAATTCTTTATGGTGCAGATTGTTGCTTATTTAATGGGAAACATTTATGCCGTGTCTCGAGGTTTGAAAAGCTTTTCTGCTCTAATTTGTGTTAAAGCACTTCATTAGAACCTTTAAGATTGTTCGTAGGTGTGAGAGCTCAACAAGAGGCGCTTTCACACCGGAGTACTTTTACAATACTTTTCCCATTTAGTTCCGATAGTGCCTGGAATTTTGCGTTCACACCAACAAGAGAACTTAGTTCAGAGAACATTTACCCCCATTTTTAGTGCCTGCTAGAGAGGTGGTAGGCTACTAGCCTGGGGAGAAAAATGTACCAATTTCTGATTGGCTGGGCGAATTGCAAACCAAGGCCCGTAAAACTC